TAAATTTTATTATACATGATGAGCAATTAAATTAAACTGTATTGCAATAAAATAACTATTTTATATTTGTGACGTCGGTAGCTGGTGATGGTTGAATACCACGTTTTTTCTTTAAAATTCCTTCTTTTAAGGTGTCGTGCTTTTCGACCACGAAAGTAGGGTCTTTCATTTTTCTGATATGTTTTATTATTTTAGTAGCAACCCGTTGAATGCGCACTTTTTAGTTGCTTGGTAGGTCCGGGGTTTTACGCACCTCATTGACCGAGCGTGCTAGCAACCTTAGATCGGGATAAAAACGAGTGACCACATCAATGATTTTTCTTGAATTGAAAGATTCAACCAAGAAAATGTTTAAAGTTTCGCAGGAAAGCAGTTTTACTTTCTCGCTCGAGACAGAGAGCTCCATGGCTTCTGAAGATAAGGTCCATATTTCAGAACAGTCAGACACAACAGACTCCGCATCATCCCTGTCATCACACAGACCCACAGGGATAGTATGCTTTGTCGTGTCAAATGGGTCACATGACTCTCCTGGTAAAATAGGGGGAGTAAAGGGGTGGGTTAGTACCACCTCTTCATCATTTACATTAACATTTGTTGTTGAACGGTACACCAAATACTGTCCTCATATGTCATATAGAGGGCGCACTCTAATCATTAATCACATAATTGTGGCAAAACTACTACACAGATTTTGCTGCTTGAGTCCTCCGAGAGCCCTGGTACAAAAAATACAAGATCTGCTTATTAACTTTTTATGGCATGGACGTCACTGGGTTAAAAAAGGTACTATCTTCTTACCAGTAAAAGATGGTGGTCAAGGCATAGTTGACTTGAAAACTCGTCTCGACACTTTCCGCTTACAGTTTCTGCAACGGTATTTGTACTCTGACTCTGAACACCCGTCATTTGCCTTCGCCAACTTTTTTCTACAACAAATACAGAACCTAAATTATGACAAACAAATATTTGCCACCAAAATTTCTGATTACAGCAACGTTCTTACTTTCTACCGTGAACTGCTATGTATTTGGTCATCCCTCCCATGGGAGAGAATTGGCGGACCCTCAGACTATCATAGTGTTGCGAATGAACCTCTTTTTTACAACCCTTTGCTACTCCACCAACTGCAAGGAGAGCCTTTGAAAATGCGCCATTTTATGAGCAGTGGTATTACTACTATCGGCCACCTACTGGATAATGGGAAATGGCTCGACATTAACACAATTCACAATCGTGTGTCCATTTATTCTAAACGAGTGCTGGCAATAGCCTTAGACTTAATTATGAGAGCAATACCTGCTGACTGGAAACAATTAGTTACAACCGTCCGCGACACAGGATCACCTGAAAACCGTACCAGATATATTCCTTCAACATCGTATACAGAGATGACGAGAATGATACTATTTTAAGCTACCCTTTTTATAAAATCGAAAATTGTTCACTTTATAGATTCCCAATTTCCTTACAAAATGTTTCCTTGCCCAATCGTACATACTCTGTCTGGCATGATTTGTTAGGTTTTTCTCGCGACATAAATCCTAATTTTGAAAATTGTTATATTTCACCTGTTAATAAAAAAGACGGTGATCTACAATGGCGCATCTTATACGGCGCATACCCTATCGGAGGTTTTTTTACTAAGGTCACACATCAAGGTCACCAATCAATGCCCTTTTTGTGACGAAGTCGATGACCTTATCCATATTTTCCTTGAATGCGGTAGAATTGCGCCACTCCACTATTCGGTCAATCAGATCATCGGACAACTATTAGATATCGACAACAACATTCCAATGTCATGGTTTATTTTTGGCCCCCCAAGACCAAGACGAGTTGACGATACCCATCGTCTGGCTGTCTTCATCATCACCACTGCTAAGACTGCTATCCATGCATCACGCTTCCGCAAACTTGACGATCAAGAAAACACAGACTTCTTAAAATGTTTTCACAACAAGATCAAGAGCCGGCTAATAGGCGAACATGAGTACCATCAAGTCACCAACTCTATCAAACTCTTCAAGATGAAATACTGCATTAATGAAGCCATAGTATCCTTTGATGAGAATGATAATTTACAATTTTTTAATGAAATAACTTAATTTTATTTGTTTATTTTGTCTCTCTATTCTTGGTTTTCGTTCGTTTGTTTCCGTCTACTTGGCTATCACTGTCCACGTATAATTGTTGTATATAAACCTGTTACGTAACCGTCTATGTGTCTATCGTTTTACCTGTTTTTTTGGTTGCTATACTTGTTTCGCTACTTGGTTGTCACTGTGCACTTATAATGTCTTAATTGTTGTATATAAACCTGTTACTTAACTGTGTTTTTGTTTATCTGTTTACTTGTTTTTTTGGTTACTATATTTTTTATTTAGACCTTGAAATGTGTACACAAACGGATGACTGTTATCCCGATGTCACAGGGCAGGGGGGTTCGCTTCCCCCATTGTCCGTGCCATAATGTATTGGCCTGCCCGTGGGGTTTCGAGGTTTTTACTTCTACTGTCCAGTTTTTATCGATTTTTTTTATATACCCGCTAATCAAAAAGGATCTGTCTGTCTGTCTGTCTGTCTGTCTGTCACTCACTCACTCACTCACTCACTCACTCACTCACTCACTCACTCACTCACTCACTCACTCACTCACTCACTCACTCACTCACTCACTCTACTTTGAATATCATCATTTCACGGTGGATTGTTGATATGGTCGTGGAAGCGTATAACTTAACTGCTAATTCATCGGCTCGTCTGGAACATCACCAGGTGAAGGCACACAAAGTCACGGGGTAGCCAACTCATTCCCTTTGATGTCTGGGGCCTCGCTCGAGCAGGTGCTCCGAGCAGGATTCTGGAGATCTCAGAATTTCTTCATTAACTATTACCTGAGAGACCTCCAAGCGCTGCAGGAGGGTCTCTACAGTTTGGGTCCGGTGGTGATGGGTCAGACAGTGTTCATTGACCCAGCCCTATGCGCGAAAGTGTAGCATGATAGTGTCTTCAGCCGAAACCAGTTTCTTTGCTTGATGCTGCTGGTTTCGTTCGACGCTATTGCACCCCAGCAATACACTGTTTTTGATGCATTAGAATTGTTGGGGCCCTATTTTATTGTTCAGTTGGCCTCCTGAAATTGGGGGGGGGGGCTACTCTCGAGGCATCCGGTCCCTGAAGAGTCGCCCGAGTGGGTGTATCCCGGTACAAGACTCCTTGTTAGTTTGTGTCAAAAATGATACATTTCAGCCGTCGGAGCTTCCCCACCTCCGTTGAGCATGCTACTCTGCCTAACGAGTAATAAATGGAATTTATTATTTCCACAGACTTTCTGGTAGGTGATGTAGTAGACTATTAGGGTGACCACTCAGGAGAGGCCTTTTTTCTATAGGGAATGCTACCCTAGGGTGTTCTTTGTGGACCCGGGTATATTCCCTAATTGTTTCCGTTTGGGGCTGTAATCTGTAGTTACATGTAGGCCTAACAAGTAATAAATGGAATTTATTACTTCCACAACAAACGGGTAAACAAACGGGTTTGTACAACCCTAATAGTTTATTATAATACCACTGATATAAAGCCTACTCTCTTACAGAAATGGTGACAATCTTCAATCTCACAGTAATCTGGTAAGTCAATGGATTATTATGTGACCAAATCATAATGAATGTCTTGTATTGTCAACAAGTGTAAAGTGTTTCCATCATGTATTCAAATCACTGAATGACATAATATTCATTTGTTTTTTTGTATACTTTGTTTCTAAAGAACGAGGATCACATTGCTCATTACAATCGTCCATTGCCATTGTTACCTGAATCAATGTCTGATAAAAAATCTGAACCAATCTATGAGACAATACCAGCTAACAACTGTGAAGAAAGACTTCTTTCTACAGGTGAGTGCACAGTGCTCCCGACAACATATGGGGTACTCCATAATGGGCTGCGACTGATAACTATGGGTATTGCAAAGAGTGCTGCAGCTGACAATTAAGGGTATTGCATAGAATGCTGCAGCTGACAATTAAGGGTATTGCATAGAATGCTGCAGCTGACAATTATGGGTATTGCATAGAGTGCTGCAGCTGACAATTATGGGTATTGCATAGAGTGCTGCAGCTGACAATTATGGGTATTGCATAGAGTGCTGCAGCTGACAACTATGGGTATTGCATAGAGTGCTACAGCTGACAATTATGGGTATTGCATAGAATGCTGCAGCTGACAATTAAGGGTATTTCATAGAGTGCTGCAGCTGACAATTATTGGTATTGCATAGAATTCTGCAGCTGACAATTATGGCTATTGCATAGAGTGCTGCAGCTGACAATTATGGGTATTGCATAGAGTGCTATAGCTGACAATTATTGGTATTGCATAGAATTCTGCAGCTGGCAACATGTAGGGGTATTGCATAGAGTGCTACAGTTGACAATTATGGGTATTGCATAGAGTGCTACAGTTGAAAATTATGGGTATTGCATAGAGTGCTGCAGCTGACAATTATGGGTATTGCATAGAGTGCTGCAGCTGACAATTATGGGTATTGCATAGAGTGCTGCAGCTGACATTTATGCGTATTGCATAGAGTGCTGCAGCTGACATTTATGCGTATTGCATAGAGTGCTACAGCTGACAATTATGGGTATTGTATTGAGTGCTACAGCTGACAATTATTGGTATTGCATAGAATTCTGCAGCTGACAACATATAGGGGCATTGCATGGAGTGCTACAGTTGACAATTAAGGGTATTGCATAGAATGCTGCAGCTGACAATTATGGGTATTGCATAGAATGCTGCAGCTGACAATTATGGGTATTGCATAGAGTGTTACAGCTGACAATTATGGGTATCGTATAGAGTGCTACAGCTGACAATTAAGGGTATTGCATAGAATGCTGCAGCTGACAATTATGGTTATTGCATACAGTGCTGCAGCTGACAATTATTGGTATTACATAGAATTCTGCAGCAGACAATTATGGCTATTGCATAGAGTGCTGCAGCTGACAATTATGGGTATTGCATAGAGTGCTACAGCTGACAATTATGGGTATTGCATAGAATGCTGCAGCTGACAACATATAGGGGTATTGCATAGAGTGCTACAGCTGACAATTATGGGTATTGCATAGAATGCTGCAGCTGACAACATATAGGGGTATTGCATAGAGTGCTACAGCTGACAATTATGGGTATTGCATAGAATGCTGCAGCTGACAACATATAGGGGTATTGCATAGAGTGCTACAGCTGACAATTATGGGTATTGCATAGAATGTTGCAGCTGACAACATATAGGGGTATTGCATAGAGTGCTACAGCTGACAATTATGGGTATTGCATGGAGTGCTACAGCTGACAATTATGGGTATTGCATAGAATTGTGCAGCTGACAACATATAGGGGTATTGCATAGAGTACTACAGCTGACAATTATGGGTAGTGCATAGAATGCTACAGCTGACAATTATGGGTATTGCATAGAATGCTGCAGCTGACAATTATGGGTATTGCATAGAGTGCTGCAGCTGACAATTATGGGTATTGCATAGAGTGCTACAGCTGACAATTATGGGTATTGCATAGAGTGCTACAGCTGACAATTGTGGGTGTCGCATAGAGTGCTGCAGCTGACAACATATTAGGGGTATTGCATAGAGTGTCACAGTTGACAACATATAGGGGTATTGCATAGAGTGCTACAACTGACAATTATGGGTATTGCATAGAAATGTGCAGCTGACAACATATAGGGTTATTGCATAGAGTGCTACAACTGACAATTATGGGTATTGCATGGAGTGCTACAGCTGACAATTATGGGTATTGCATAGAATTGTGCAGCTGACAACATATAGGGGTATTGCATAGAGTACTACAGCTGACAATTATGGGTAGTGCATAGAATGCTA